TTTTATTCTTTTGTTTATTAGTACATTTTTTTTTTCTACGCCTTTGTCCTTTACCTCACTGCTTGGTTCCTGACATGCACATTAACCAAAAGGATGTTAATGCTAATGGCCAGCAGACCAATATAAATGTATCTTTATTCCTCACTCCAGAGGAAAGCTCGCCTCCAGTCGGAAGTAGCATGTGATCTGTAAAATGGAAATTGAAAATGATGCAATTTGTATAATGAAATGAAAAAGAAAACAGTATAGTTACTCTCAAAACCTTAAGAATTTTTTTTCTAGATTGCATTTTTGTTTTTCTGGATAGTAATACAAAATGTGTTTTTAACAATAACGGAACAAAATCTACTCTATAAGTTAGCAGGAAACAGCCGGCCGAGTTTCAGCCTCATCGTCCTGCATTATATAGTATATAGGGGGTAATGAGGGGCGATTAGCATCTCATGACCGCCGCCAGATCAGGGGTCATAAGGTCGGGAGAATATGAAACATGTTTGACATTCTGTCAGCGCTCATGGGTAAATCCTGCTGTTGAAGCAGAGCTATGAGCCGATTTACCAGAACCTTCTGCACTGCGTATGTTCAAAGTACGGAGTTTGGACATGCAAACTACTTCTTCTTTCCGATTGATGAGTCCGACCAGCGCCATCTCTAGGTGGTGAGTTTGACGTATGGTTTTTGGACATGCAGTGTGAGCAGGTAGATCGCATCAGAGCGTCGGGCCGTACAGTGTAAGAACATACATCCTGAGCTGTGAACATTTAAACCCTGTTATTTTATTGCACAGTTTGAGCTGTAGCTGAGTACAACCATTGAAAAAATTGTACAGTGTATGTCCGACCTTATATAGAATCTCTCATCCATGTTGACCCTTTCCTGGCATGGACTTTAACACGCCCAATATTAGCAAACTTCCTCCTTTGCTCTTATTATAATTACACAGCGAGAGAGAAAGCTTTGTGATTTGAATATCAATGTGCTGTTTTGAGACACTTGTACAAATGACTGAAGCTGTCCTACCAAGCATGACACTCTTTATAAGGTGCATTATCTTTCATTTGCTCAGTGGGGTGAGTGGTCATCTTGTAATCAAAAGGGTCAATCCAAGCTTCCTCCTGTTACATGTCTATGTGCCCTTGGGCAAGGCACTTAACCCCAAATTGCCAACCGATCTGCGTAGTGGTCTTAGAGTGTGATTGAGTGATTGTGGCTCTAGTGTAAAGCGCATTGAGTGGTCAGCATGACTAGAAAATTCAGTCAATTTACCATTAACACTTTTGACTCCTAATTGGATAATTAGGATGTGTGAGGCAAGAAGTCCATATAGACATGACAGCATTATTGTTTGAGAGATCATTCTCATTCCTTGAAAGCAACACATTTATGGGAAGTGGAACTTTCAATTTTTTAAACCTTTTTGCAATTGTCTTAAATTAATTTCCTTATTAAAATCATCTAATTAATAGCTGAAATCCACCTGTGTGTAATTACATTTTAAGATAAACCCAGCTGTCCTGTGAAGGTAGAGAAGTTTATTTTTTTTTTATTTTTTAAAGAACATAAACAGTAAGCACCAAAGAAAACAACTAACAGGCAATTTGAAACATTATCCTGAGCTTTGAATTTGTTCTGGATTGGGGTATACCAGAAAGAAACCAGCACACTGAAACAGGAGATGGATAAAACTAATCAAAGAAGCAGCCGAACCTTTCATCACAACTCTGAGTTGCAAAGATCTACTGCTTAGAAGGGGAAACTTCTGACAAGTCAAATATTGGTTGTGGAAGCAGGTCCTTATGCCCATTGTTTAAATAAAGGTATAACAAGTCAATTTGACATAGAGAGCAAGGCAAATATCTAGAATATGGTGCTCCAGTCTGATAAAAAAGTCTGAACTTTAATCTTCAAGCAAAGTATTGTAAGAAAACAAAGCACGCCCCTTGTTAATAAGCAGCATATCATTATAACGGCTGCATCATGCTGTGGGGATCAGGAATCTGGACATCAACGGTGGACAGAATTGACAGAAAAAAGATCAACCCTGGAAGAAAAAATATTAAAGCCCCAGGGTGTAAGTTTTACTCCCATCTAAATAATCTAATATTACATAATAAAGTGCAAACAATCGAGAAGCTTGCTTTGTTACCTCCCCATTTAGCACAGATTAACTACTACGTGGAACGATGAAGTACATAATTCTAGTTTTAATTGTGGCCAAAAGCTTGTATGTCCTTCCAGTATTTGGTAATAAGCTACTACTAATAGCCATAGCTGACAGCTAGTATGACTTCTGTGGAGAATGACAGTAAGTGATAATTGTTGCATCAAAGGATGTCCTAGCTAGGGTAAAAAAACAAGATGCTACCTTTGCTGGGAAGAAAAAGTACTTGGTGGCTGATAGCAAAACAAACCTCACTGTTGTACTAAGTTATCTTATCTGTCCAAAAGAAAGCCTGGAAACTTGCCTCCATTTTGGCAAAACCCACATGAACTGTCTCCCCTGGTAAAGGCGACGAATCTACCAGGTGGTTTAGAGTAGAGGGTTACGCCCTCCTTTGATATGGTCAGATAGGTTTTTGGTGAGAGTTGGATATCTCCAAGGCTGCAATATCATACTAGCTTATTTGGTCACATAAAATCCCCCTTAGATAGGTTAGTCTGATGTATGGTAGCAAAGTATGGTAGCTTTAAGCTCTTTACACAGATGTTCTCACTTTATGAAAGGCTCTCCTTTGGATAAAAATGTAAAATCATCTGTTGTCCCCTATGCATGCTATCACATACAATTTTTTTTCTTTTTTTTTTTGGCATCAAACTTAAAATGATAAAATTTAAGCTCTAAGAAAAAGAATAAGCACAATCTTTGTTTTGCATGCATCTTGTCCTCAAATACGTCAAAACCCAGGAATGAATTTAATGTAAATGTTTGAAAATAGAAAATAACTTGCAGGCATAAAAAAAGAGAGACATGCTTACAGGATGCAGAGCCAGGACTGCTGGTATTGGACCCCAGTGGCTGTTGCCGTCACACCTTGGATCGTCTCAGACAGCAGATGAACTGCAGGACAGATGTTAAACAGATGTTAGCGTAAGATAACTTCACATTCAGGAGACTCCACCTATCTTTATTTTTGGCACAAATTAATCCCCCCACCCCCCCAAAAAAAACTCAAAAATATTTATGGTAACTTTGTGTTTAGAGATAAAATATACACCTCTGATTTCATTATATGCCAGCTTTATGAAATGAATGTTGTGGACAGAGAGGTAGTGTCTCATCAGAAGGCTATTAATATGGCGTCTACATAGGATGTGTTTAATGAGCTTGCCTTCTGCTTCAAACAGTGACGTCTGGCTGTACTGTTTGGAAATATTAGACCACCACAGGCTAATAAGGATGTCCATCCAACCTTAGGGAACACCAGCATTCATTTAAATCGATAAAAGAAAAACACTTTAATATGCTGGCATATTTGCACAGCATAAATCATTAAACAGAGCAGAGCTGAAAGCAGTGGATCGCTGCCTAAAAAGAGAAATCTCTAGTATGACTTCTGTGCTAAAAATGATGAACCATTAAGTTTTGCGGGATACTCTTCAGCAAGACTGAATATACTGAGAACATCCAGCTTGCTTTGTCTTATGGCATCCTCTTTAGCTAATCAGCAATAGGGAAATGACAGGGTGGAAATGTTTTGTATCATAAGCAGCGGGGATGATCATTTCCATATCATTCTGATTTTCTCTGCCAGTGATTTCTTTCTTTCTGTGCGTCTTTGTCTTCCTCTCCATCAGTCTTCTTTTCTCTCCCTCTGCCATGCCATTTCATCAATAAAGTATCCTCCATTCATGCCAGAAAATGATGGGCGTCACCATGACAACAGTATCACTGTGCTCAAGGAGCAAGAGCGCAGGGGATAATAAAGAGGTGTGCGTGTGTAGCTAAAAATTAAGAAAGTAGACGAAAGGGACAAGAAGGAAAAGAAGCAAGTGTACGGTGTGAAAAGGGAGAAAGAGACGAAATAGAGAAACAAACAGAAAACGAAACATTCAGTAAAGGAGAACAGGAGCGAGTGAACAAGGAGAGAAAAATAATGGAACAAAATCAGACAAGATGAATAGGAGAACCGGAAACATAAGGAGGGCAGAGAAATATATGAATATAGGAGATGGACTGGGATTCCATACAATTAATAGCAGTAAGCCTGACAGTCAAGTAGTAATCAAAACCATCCAATTTCCCATTGACGTCAGGGATGAGCTGAGGGGAGAGCGGGAAATGGAGACAGACAAACGCTAGAAGAAAAGATTAAAAGGAATAGAGAAGAGGGATTGAGGATGAAAAGAATCTAGTAAAGGTTACGGGAAAGTGGAAAAAAAAAAAACAGAATGAGAGCACCGAATGCGCTTACCAAGGTCACTGGATTCTACATACCAACAAACCTTGGGCTAATGCTCCACAACAAAATGATGCAAGCAGACATTAATAAAGTTCGCAGTGATAAAGATGTTTGTAAACTTGTTTCATTATTTATGTGTAAATTCTGCAAATCATGAAGAACACACAGATCAAAAATTAAACCCCAACTATAAAGCTAAATAAAACAATAACTCAAACAACTAAGATTTCCTTTAACGAATTTGTCATCTGTTTGACCTCAGAGACTTACATTAATATAGTCAGTCTCTGTAAGGGATGATTTTGTCGTTTTTGGTTTTATTTCTATTTAAAAAGGTGACAAAAAAAACAAAAAAACAAAAAACAAAAACAAACAAAGCATATCCCTACAACCAGTTCAGAACTATTAATCAGCATGTTGGTCAGGTAAGTCCAGGGAGGGAGTACCAGATAAAATGCTGTTGTTGGAAATAATCAGCACAGTTGTAAACTCTCCAGGAAACCTACCAAAATTACTCCAACATCTTTTACCCAAAACGTCTAAATCCCCAAAAACCTCATGAGTCACAAAGAGATCCCTATTCATGATGCAATGATGGGAAGGAAACTTTGCAAAGAAGGGTTCTATGGGAGAGCTCCACGGGAAAAACACAATCTATGTGAGACACCATTAAGCCTCCAATCTGACAGGTTATGTCTAAGACCACCTCCCCTGTTGAGGTTTTTTTTTCCCCAGGTTAACAAAGATGGCTTCCTTTACCCCTCTCTCAAACCAGAGTGTCTTCCTTGGCCAGAGTATGGATGTTGTTGTCCTCAAACAGGTGTTCTTTAGGCATGAGGTGTAGGTGAACAGCTGAGTAAAAAAATGTCCTATGTTGGGTGGGTTCAGAGGTATTTTAGGTACTTGGCAGAAATAGAAAAAAATATTAAGGAAAACCACAATACAAACCACCAACTGTATAAAAACAGAATACACAAACTAATAAGGTTCAGGTCGGATAAATGCGACCTGGCCGTTCAGACACAGGTTGCATTTGAAAAGATCAGATTCGTATCGGATCCAGGATCATATAGCCAAGTGGCTTGGGTCGGATAGGAAAAAATCGGATCAGTATTGTTCAGACTGCCATGAAAAGATCAGATACAGGTTGCATGTGGGCAAAGAAATTGGATTTGATCACTTCAGGCTGCTGTGTGAACTTAGCCAGAGAGTTTCAGATAAAATCCCATCAAAAACAACTTAGCTGTTTGTTTATATGTATAAACAAACCACTGCACATGGGTGAATTTTTCTAATAACATTTTAAATAAAAAAGCTGATGCTTGAGGAAAGTACAGGGTGTGTGGATTGACTGCTGGTGGGACTGTCTGAGTGACTAATTAAGATTTCTTCAAATCTTGTCATTGAAGTCAAGATTTCCACTTGGTTTCGTCAGTATGTGCCATACAAACACCGCCGTTTCTACACACACAAAAGATCACATATGCTTACACGCAGCATGTCAAATGTGCCAACTTCAATAGAAAATAATGAATAAATGTGAAGAAGGCAAGACTGGATGGCTGGATAGCCCACTTTGATCTCTGGATTCTTGGTGGAAACATTGAGTTTGTTATCCATGCAATTTGGTTGGAGGGTAAAAAAACCAGATTGCTGTTTTCCCAAATCCCATAAGGTAGTAAATTATTTGTGGCCGACAGTGACAAATAAGCAAAAGATGAATTCATAAACATGCTAAATCAGGCCAGTAATTCAAATGTTAATTCTTTTGGTCCGTCTGCCAGTTGAACATCAAAGAAAGGAGAACATCTATAGAGATGTGCAACTACAAAAGAACACAGAGATGATCAGTGTTTCTTTAAAAAAAAAAAAAAACCTGCACACTCACCTAAAGAAACCTTTTCTATTATGATCTAAGGCTTATTACTAAAGGTGAAAAATCCCATGCTACAGAAAAAGATCGACTTCAGCCTCAACCATTGTAAGCTCAGGCAGTAAACACATGCACACACACATGAACACGCACAAAGGAAAACATGATTGGCTTCTTCTGAGTGTGAGAGAAGGTGATTAAACCAGAGGAGTGTTCCCCACAGAAGAAGCAAATGGAACATTGACTGTAATAGCCCATCATAGCCAATCAGAACACACCGCCCAAAGGCTATGATGTCAAATAGTGATGAAATAGCCACTGGGACTGGGTCATTTATTTATCGGTAAGAGGATCATCACATTTAAAGGGTATGAATATAAAATATGTTTTACACTGCAACAACAATCTTCAAAATACTTGATCAGAATCTGAGTCTTATTAGTCCGTAGTTGTGCAGTGGCAAAAAGGATATCAGATTTCTTTTTTTTTGCCAGTTGTTTCTTGCAATGAGGTTTATAATATGTGTCATGTTCTCTGCCTGCAGAACCCCTCATTTGATGCAACAACAGCAGTAATTCTTATGGGGTCTCTGGTAGTGTTCTAGATCTATAATCTAAAATGAACCATTCTCTGCAAAAAGTTAAGGTCGTCTATTTCTGGATGGAGTGTGTAGAAAGCAACTTACACACAAAATTTTAACCAGATTTTGACTAAACAATTCCATACATCCTGTTTCTTTCACTTAATAGTAATGAGCTACTTTGAGACATTTGTGGTTGTAATGTGACAAAACGCAAAGGTTCAATTGGAACCAATTTTGTGTTTCTGTAATAAAAAAAACTGAAAGTTATGGACCATCAATCTGCTTGGTGGACCTGCAACAGATTTAAGGGTCAGGTGAAGAGCCAGATTTGTGACAATGTGAAATTTTCCTGGTGTCTGTGATCATACGATGACTCAATAGGTCAACCCAGTCCTGAGTGTGGAAAAAAAACAACACACACATGGCATACTGATGGTGATTGGTAAAGAAGTGAGCCACTGATTGCAGCCTCACAGGGGCCGATGCTGACATTTTCATCCAATTAACACAGCTTACCGTCATCAAAGAAAACGAAACTTTGAGACTTCTCTGAATGTGCAGCAGGTGGGAGGAAAACCAAGAGGGGAAAAAAAAAGAGTCAGTACAGTCACCAGTAAACAGTTTCTTAGCTTTTTAAAAACACACAAATTATATTCCAACACAAACTAACCAAAACAGACACAAAAAACACGTGTTTTCTGGTTAAAAGGCACACCATCGTATCTCTACTGAACAGAAGCCTAATTTCCTGCCCTCTTTTACTTCATGAATATTAAATATTTTTTATTAAAAAAAAAAAGTCCCTCAATGTGATATTGCTGGTGAGACTGAGATTTATCTGCATGATTATCTAAGAACTAATACAAAAAAATGGATTTTATCATTGATAGTTCTGCATTTGGATCATCCTAGGAAACCCAAATATGTCAAGAAAGTGATCAAAATGAGAGGAAAATGACACATATGGCCTTAGTTTTTCAACTGATGCAGAGCTTCAATAAAAAGCTTTTTATTCAATGATCTGATAACCAGCAGAGAGAGAGAAAAAAGAAAACTACATACATAAGTTGATGTCCTTCTTTAAGTTAAAAAAGCACGAGTTGCTCGATTTTAAAAAAGCAAACTAGAATTTTAAAAAGTGAGAATTCCCTTTAATATTTTAACTAAACTGATTGTACTTTTTACATATTTAACACCAACATCAATTCAACTCAGTTCACTTAGTTCCATATCACAACATATACGAAGGCATTTTAGAAAGATTAATTCAATCCTATCGATTTATGGAGTAAATTTTCGTCCAATATTGTCGCAAGCCACAAAGAGATTTTTAAATAATAACAACAATAATGAAAAAAAAGAAAAAAATAACTACTTTTGTAAGTTAAAAAAAAAAAAAAAAATGTAATCCGAAAATGAAGCTGAACATTTTTTAACTAGAAAAAGTTTTAAGAGAAACCAATATTGCTGCTATGAGATTTTGTTCCTTTTTTCAAAATTTTTCATATTTTTTTTATATATCTTTTATTAATTTAATTGACATTTCTCAAATTTTATATAAGCATATATTATTTAAATTTTCAAAAGAACTTTTTTCCCAAATGTTATTTTAGCAAATTATTTTTTTTACAGTTAATATACTTAAAATGTTTTATTTTTTTACTGCTGTTTTTTTAGATAGAGTTTTAAGAATTGCATTCTTTTCAAATTGAGTTTCACAGATATCTTTTTCTTTACTTCAGCACCATACAAACATTTGCTATTGATGCACAACTTGACCAATAAAAATTTTGCAAAATTCATGCAATAAGAAACAATATGAAATGATAAAATCTGAGAAAACAACAAAGTTACTCTCAGAAATGTTTGATCATCTCATTTTATCCAAGTTATACTGTATCTGGAAAGTGTCTTTTTTTTCTAATTCACAAACGTGTTTTTTTTTTTTTTTTCAAATGTCTACTTACCAAAGGTGTCTTGATAAGTAGACATTTACTAGTAGACATTGTGGTAAATGTACTCCATACAGATGGCTCTACAACAAGGTTTAACATTAGTTCACCATGGTTAATTTTAGCTAGAAAAAAAGATGACATTAAATTTATGAAAAATACAAAGTTGTCAAATTCCACATTATGTGGTGTTAGCAGTTTCAGTTTATCCCTCTACAGAATAAAATATAATTAGCCTTTATTTTTCTATTTGTCCAAAAGGAACTTGAAATAACTGGAAGCAAGACGGATGAGCAGAAAACTGGAAAACAAAAAATATGAACTAGCTTTATATAAATTACAAATATGAAGAAATATGTAAAACTAGCGCAAAAACAAAACAGACATAATTACATTTAATGTTAATTCCTTTTTTAAAGGGATGTTTAAATAAATAAAAACAATTAAACAGCAATGTATATATAACTTATGTGTCAATAACCCCAGAAATTTTCAAAAGATCAAAATTTAAGTAGAATATGTTTTTTTTCCAGCCACCTGGCAGGAAGTAGATAGCAGTAGATGGAGGAGGGGGAACACTGGGATACTCTATGCTACTAAAACTGCTGTTTTTCATGCGTTTTCTCCCTCTTTGACCTATTCTATTACTCTTATGGAGAGGACATTCAGTTAATTGTCACCTATCAATAGGTGGAAATGCTCACTTTTACTTTTAAAATAGTTTTCTTTCATATTCTTTAAGCTTTAGCAAAATCATTTGTTTTAAACAAATTTTTCCATTTTTTTTACATTACCTTTATGTTAATACAATATAGACTTGGGGGTGTTTTCCCCATTATGTTCCTTTTTCATGTACAGCAATTTGAATCGTCTTGCTGCTGCAATGTGCTGTATGAATAAACTTCCCCTACATCTATATTATTGTAATGCACTTTAGACTTGTTCAACCAAAATCACTCACACTGGTTGTACTACTGCTTGACTTAAAAAAAAAAAATCTAATTGACACGTGATTAAAGTCAATTCAGCTAAATTTGTATTTCAGAGGACCATTTTACCCATACATCCCGTAAAAGGTCTCTTCACATAGGAGGACTTATAAAAGACTTCTATTTTTTTTTAAACTAACAGTAAGCGTTTTCTGTTTGAAAATAATAGCCTTCATTACTTTTTGACATTTACAAGCAAATATGTACATAAATAACTTAATTGATAGAAATAATGATCCTCCTGAATTACAAGACTATCCTAAAACAATTATGATCTGAAGCAATAGTAGGCATGAGGAGCTGCATTTCCTTGAGGCAGATGGTGAACCTGTGGTTACACTGAGACAGAATACATATGTTTTTTGTGTGTGAGTACACCACTAATGTAATTATGCAAGTTTATCTTCTGTGTAAAGACAAATGTTTGAAATCTATTCACAGAAAAACATAGCTGTGGAGGATGGAGCTCACTTTCAGTCAGAAAAAAGAAAAAGCCACGAGACATGTTTTTCTGTAAGGATGGAATTAGAATTCCCTCACATGGATATAAAGTCGGAGCTCACAGATGGACCAATAGATTTGCATGTTCTGAAATCCATACCAACAACTTGTATGCAAAACATTATCCAAATCCAAACAAATTCCCCCCCCATAAATATTTGGTTTAAGAACTTCTGCAATGCGGCGGAGACATGTGAGGATTATCCAGAGCCAATCAGCAGTTTGTTTTTAGTTTATTCACAGCTCAGTCTGCTGGAACCTCTGATGGATTTTCATTCAATAATGAGAACAGCTTCCTTTAAAACGTCTTATAAAAATGGCCTTTTTACAAGTCTAGCTGTGCTTCTGCACAAAAAGAAAAAGAAGAAATGCCCACCAACAGCTAGTAAAATATATGCTGCATGGACCTGATCGGCAAAGGAACTGTGCAAGCCTCTGGTATTTAAAGACTGTTGTTTGTATCACACGTATCCCCAACTGAAAATTATTTTTGCTGGCTTTATTTCTATCACCTCACCTAGTTATTTACAAAATTCTCTGTCTGGATTTATATTACTTATAAATTAGTATGGCAAAACCCTTACAATTAATCACACTGTGAACTCAGGCCTTAATTAGTTCCTGTATGCTGCAGTAATTTCAAATTAGGACAAAGACTATAGAAAAATATCTCTAAGAGGTTACTAACAGGAAGTATATATATTTAAGTGTTTTTGAAATTTTACATCCGTTAAGTATTATTCCTCAATGGGACTTAAGGTTTCCACTCAAACTCGGGTCAGTTACCCCCTTAAGGCATTTCAAAGTAGATATAGTTACCTTTTAAAAATAACTATATTTACTTTAACAGATTGATATGTGGAACTGATTTGAATTCTACATTTTCAATCTGGGAAGGCTGCAGATCCATCAGTCTGTGAAAATTCCTACTCTGAATAAGGACTTTGTAGAAATAGCGGAGTAAAGAAATTTTACATCTTGACATTTGCATCCAGTTGGCTCTATATCACACATTCATAATATTTGGCCAATAAAGAGCTTATCAACGTTAGACTAAAACTAGACTAAAATGGGCTTTTTGAAAATTTAAACAGCTATTTCAATCAATTCAGTTTATTTATATAGCACCAATTAAAAACATGGGCCATCTTATTGAACTGAACAAAGGTAATTAAATCAAATCATAAAGAAAGGCAAAAATTATTGCATCTAAGAAAACCCAACTGATTATATTGAATCATTGACTTTGCAGAATGTGCCCCTCCTGGATTAGGATGTAGTTACAACAAAAAAGGCGGCTATTTCTCCCCTTTACATTATATTATCCACACAATATCTTGTGCACTCATGGACAACTGTTTTACAAGGGAGAATTGTAAACACCCTACTCCACTGTAGTCACACCAACTATTAAACGCTTAGGTTTCTGAAGTGGAAGACTCTTCATGACGTGTAAGGAGGTACATTATTGTGCAATTCTTCTTATTTGATTAGGAATATGTATTAAAAATGGGCTATGAGCTATACTAGGTCATAAGATAGGAAAAATAAGAGAGAAGAAAAATTATCCAACTTAGCTGACCAGCTGTACAGTCACAGTTTGCAAAAACAAAAACAAAAAAACATATGATTCGAAAAAAGCAGTGCATGCTTATAAACTCAGGCTCAAAATCCCTAACTTAACTTTTAGCAATAAAGTTCAAAGCTAGACTTGTTTCAGAAATATCATCAGAATTTAACGCCACTTTAAATTAGTTGTCTGCCCAGGCACGGGTTAAAAGTATTAAAGAAAGGAAAAAACAAACTGCTCGGCTTTGTGTTGTCATCTTTGGAGACAGACAACTGCAGGCTCTAGGTCTCAGACAGAGGCCGAGCTAAATTCCAGAAAAAGCAACCTATTCTAGTTGTTGGGATCCAACAGATAAGACAAACCTAACGACCTAAAGTTAACAAGAAGGCACCCTCTGTAGAGAGATTATTTGTGTAAGTGAACTGCAGGCTGTTCCTTAAAGAGGGCAGAAGCACTTCATAATGACTGAGGTCAGAACATCAGGACAGTAATAAATTAGATGGATGATCAATTATCTTTTTTGGCAAAGGTACAATG